AGTTAGTTACTCCAGGCTTTGTCTCTGAAGGGCGAGTTTTGCTATAGTTCTGATTCAGGAGGAAGTTCTGCAACAGTGCCACTTCTGTCCTAACCTGGAGGACCCCAGGGACACTGCAGCGAACCAGAAAATTCCCACAGGTGTCACTTTGTCCCAGGTATGCCATCTGGGCTACAGGACCCTGGGGACATGATTTCCCTAAGCTGAGACAGTGCAGTTCTACTGCCCTGAGAAAACAAGATACTTGTTCCTCTTGGCACTGGGCTTGAACCTAGGGCCTCATGCATTCTAGACAAGCATCCTACCACTGAGCTGCATCCCAAGCCCACAAAAGATAAAATCCTTGACAGCTGACCTAGCACAAACACAGACTGAGTAGTCGCAAAAGTGTGGTTGCGCAATGCTCATCTGTATGTAGTTTCTTTCTTCCTTTTTCCTTCTTTCTGTTTGTGTTTAATTATCCTACCTTCTTAATTTCACATCACTCTCTTGCCCCCGCCCTCCTGTTTATGGTTACTGTCCTCTGGCCATATTTTCCCATGATATGTAATGCCACAGTTGTGTATATGTGTTTATATAGTATGTGAGTGTGTACACATCTACACACACATTTATAGATCCAGTATTTGGGGATTATCAACTTACTAAGATTGATTGAGTTATAAACACTTGACAAGGGCTTGTTTCTGCACCCCAGCAAGCTTTCTGGAGATCTTCTTAAGACTGAATTTATATGTTGTTTTAGTCTGTTCACTGTTGCTATAGTAAATACCTGAGCCCAGGGGATTCTTCAAGATGAGAGACTCATGTCAAAAGTGGGAGAGTACATACAATAAAGAAGAAACACACAGAACTGCCTTGCCTTGAAGCAGTCACCTCTGCTGGTCCTCCGAATGACCTTAAGCATCTCTTAAAAGCCTTACTTCCTACACCACCACAATGACAATCTAATTTCAAACTAAGTCTTGGTGCAAATCATATAATTATTTATCTACCTCATTCTTTTGAATAATGGTAAATATCCCATGGCATGGTTACACCAAATTTTCTTCAGTTATTTCTCTATTAGTGACAAATGTATTTGTTTCTATTTTTACCACTCTATGAACAAATGCAACAGCAAATGTCCTGGGACTCATGTCTTATGTGCTGGTAACCTTTTTTACATGATACTTTTATTTATTCCTTGAAAGTTTCATACATGCATGCATTTTATTTTATCTTCCTCCAACTCACCCCAGGACCCACCAATTCATCTTCCTCTCAACTTCATGTGCTCTCACTGTCATTAGCTCTCTGAATCCATTTAGTGCTGACCACTCTTCAGTTAATGGCTCTATACCCATAAACACAAATATTAAGAAGATAATTTGACAACATGATCCTTCAGGGAAACAGCAGATTTCCCCTCTAGGGCCTATGACCTCACGAGTCAAGGGAGGCCATTTTGCGATATCAGACATGAAATTCCTCCCGTGGAGCAAGCCTCTTATCCAGTCAGAAAGTGGTTGGTTCCCCCATAACCATCCTGCCGCTATTGCACCAGAGGTCACAGCTTGCCTGGCAGATCGGTAGCATCAGGGTCTAGCGCTGGATAAAACCACTGGTGTCTCTTCTTACCCAGCAGCTTGCGTAACACTTTCCAGCACTATGGAAACTAGCCAGCAGGGGGTTTACTGGTCAGTTTAATTTTGATTTCTCAATGTCCTGCGACCAAAGTGTATAGTATCTTCAGCAATAGGGTCTTACCATTTAGTTATGGTGGGCAAATGAGTAATGAAAACAAACAGCCTGTGCTTTTTTGGGGGTGCCTCTGAGGCCTCCCTAGCCAGTAACTTAGGGAGAGGTATTCCATGCCTGGCACTGAGATTACCATCAAATAACCACTGTCTTCTGCGAACAGTATTGTTCACCCATGCAGGGTACCTCTGCTCAAGCTCCTTTAATATATATATAAAGTAGCTTAAAATGAGTAGATTTCCACCAAGTGTCTTCATACAGCCTCAGTTTTGGTTACTCACCTCTAACCCCTTGTTATCCTCTACTCCCCATCCTCATCTCCATCTAAACCTTTAACCTGGAGTGGCCCCCACCCCATTCTTTCCTGTCACCTGTGTCCTACTATCCCTTCTAGTTGTATTTTTTTTTTTTTTGGCTTGGGTTGTAAGATTGTAGGTTTCCATGTAGCTTTTTAATGCAGCCTTCATTTTGGGTACGTCTTCTTCCACCCCCTGTGGAGATCTTATTTCTGTAGGAAGTATTGCCAGAAATGGGATTTTTTAAGCACCAGATGTCTTTCTCAGGTGGTTGATACTTTGCATTTCCACTGTGCATAACTTATAGATACAATTTCTCTATTATATATATACACACACACTACATAATAACAAACAGGTTTTTTAAAGTAATTAATACTAATGCTTTTCAAACTATTCCATAAAATAGAACAAGAAGGGATGCTACCAAACTTGTTTTTTACTGAATTTACAATACCCAATGACAAAGCCAGATAAAGATAAAACAACCCACAAAAAGAAAATTCTAGACCGATTTCCATGGTGAACATAGTTGCAAAAATCCTGTCCTGCTTTATGTTATTGTCTCTGTGTCTACTTGTCACTTCCATCTCTCTTGGGGAGAAACTCTGAGTTTGTGGGACCTAGTGGGAGGCAGGAGTTCACATTCCACGGGCCAGCTCTTCTCTTTACCTAGTTAGCTTAGGGTAGGGCTGTGACCAGGGTTGGGCCAGGTGGAGGACCCCACCTGAACTGTGAACGTGGGAGGAACAAATGGGGATTCCTTGTCACCAAAGGTGGAGAGAAAGCTGGTGTGGGGCACTGTCCCCTGGGCCTGCACTGTCACCCAGTTGCCCTTGCTTAGTCTCTTCGCCACACCTAGTGGCCCAGCCTCTCTGTCCATCATCTAGCAGTGTGTTCTTTTTTTTGACTCAGTTAGTCAGAGTTGATTTTTATTATCGATAAGAACTATGATTTGTTGAGTGTTATTCCTGCACTCCTCTCTACTACTCCCTGTTGGTCAGAGGCCCGCTGAGGCTGCCCTGCCCTCTGCCCTTTGGGGGCATGGCTAGCACACAGGTACTATCCTTTCCTCTCATGGGACAGAGGGGCTGTCCAGGGTCTGACAGAAAGCCAGCATCCTGGGATGCATGCACAGCTGCTTTCTTGTTACAAAGGCCTGGTGTGACTTGCTGAAGAGCGGTTGACAGTGGTGGCCCTTAATTCAAATTGGCTTCCCTGGAGAAGAAGGAAGAGCACTGTGTGGAAGAGTCATGGGGGGCGGGGTGGGGGTTGGGGCTCAGACTCTGCATTGGGGATTACTGGGGATTTCCCAGAGGGTCTTTCAAAATACTGCTTGTCTCTGTTAAGATAACAGCTCCTGCTGCGTGTCCTGTTTCCTGTAATTTATCAAGTATTACTTAGAGTAAATTTTAGGACAGTTAGATGTGGGTTGGAAAGTGACAAGGCAGGGTGGTCATTAGTAATGTGTGCCTGTAATCCTTGCGCTTGTTGCAGGGGGCAGAAGATGCATCTTGTTACCTGAACGCTGGAATCCTCTACTCTGCCAAGTTAGACTTGAACTTTTCTGGGGATCTGCCCAGAGTGGTCCTCGTTGGTGAAGCTGTGTGGTTCTGAGGAGCTCTGCTGCCTCTGTGCCAACCCTTACAGTTAGAGCCCATGGGCCTTCCCTTCCTTGATTTTTGACTATGTCTGAAAATACCTTTACTGACCCATCTGGGGGACTTGTTTTATGTTCATTATGGACTTTGGAATATTTTTACACTAGCCTTAGAAATTAAGTCTTAACTCTCAAAGTGCCTCCTTCTCATTCTGAATTGTCATTAACTTTGAAACATATATATATATATATATGTAGTTATAAAAGCAATATGTTTAGTATAAAAGACAGAAATGCAGAAATGTCCAAAAGAGAAAAAAATATAAAATAATGTAATCCCCCCACTCAAACAGAAATAATATTTTAACATTTTCTATTAGTTTTTATTTTTGAGATCATAATGTAATTACACTTCTCCCTCTCCTTCCCCCCCCCCCAAACTCTCTCATAAATCACTCCCTTCTCTCCTTCAAATTCATGACCTTTTTTTCCCATGAATTATTTTTGTATGGAATATTTTCTTTCTTTCCCTCTGTATTTATCTACTTATATTGTTTTACAATCTCCTTACAGCAGGAGGGGAGCACTCGCTGCCTTCCAAGGTTAACCTTCCCAGGATTTAATGGATTACTTTTGTTCAGAATCAGGCACTTCAGAAGCCATATTGCTCTCTTGTTTGGTTGTCTCCATTTTGTGGCTACATCATGGCTACCGTAGCCATGATGATGATTTCAGCAGGACTTGACCTGTGATGACCCTTGTTCATCTCCATCTCTCTTCACTCTCTCTGGATGTTTAATTTTAACTTTAAGGCAGGGGTCTGGCTCCATGGCCCAGGCTGTCTCTAAACTCAAGCAATCTTCCCAAGTCAGATTTCTAAGCCCCTGAGACAGCAGGCGCTCATCCCCACACTATTAGGGGATGAGTCTCCAGACCTCCTATCCAGCTTTGCCTGTTTGTATTCATGTGTGTCCAGCTGAATGCATGTCTGTTTTTCCATTCACCCTTATTAAAATCCATTAATGACAACATTAATAGGTATGTTTATATACATGTTCATATACTTTTGTGTTCTTTGGCCCCACTTCCTGTTTTTCTTGCTTAGGGATATTACAGCATCAATCTCTTGAAGGGGCAGTCCAGGGTTTAAATACGGCTTCTTGTACTTCTGTGATCCTGAACATCTGGGATGCTGTCATTCATCTGAGGAATGGAGAGAAGGGGATCTGAGAGGGCAGATGTTCAGCAGTCTCGGGAGTCCCAGAGGAGAACCCACCCACACACCATCACAAGCACTATACAAAACTAGATCTTCATCTGCACTCCAGAGCCCGGAATGAGTTTGTCTCCTTTTCTTCTTTAAGCTGAGCTAAGGGGCTGTAGCCACCTGGAGCTTCACTAGACTGAGATGTCAGTGACCGACAGCCGATCATTGGAAAATATTTGAGAAGTAAAGGAACAGAGCAGCAGAGACGGAAAGAGGAGGTAGGTGGGGTAGGGCAGGGCTGGGTTTGGGGTGAGTTGGGGCTCATAAGACAGGGTGGAGTTCAGTCGGTCCACTGTGGTCAGTGTCCTGGCTTTGGGTCGTTGGATCATTGTTTAATTCTTTACTGTTTCTTAGATACACTGTTTTTATTGAACCACACACCTTGAGGCTTATCCAAGTTCACATTTACCGTTCCTCTGACTGCTCTTTATGTACAATAAAATGCAAAGTATTGAGGTCGGGGGAGCAAGTGAATCTCATCACATCCTCCATTGAGATGTGAACAAGAAAGTGTGCAATGGACATGAGCCTACTCATACCTATGATTTATTGAAAAAGAGGGTAGGATCCTTGGGGGGCCTGAGGGTCTGTCCTGGGGGCTATAAACAACAGGAGAACCAGGAACTCCACACATTCTCCCATCTAGTCCCATGTGTGGGGGCCTAGGAGTCTGGCCTGAGTCCTGGCTTAAGAGTCCCCGAGATATATGAATAGATACAGTCTCCAAGCACCCACCACTTGCCTTCTCCTTGGGGGTTTAGGCATGACGCTGACAGCAGGTGTGTAGTGAGGACTAAGAGCAGAATGGGTGTGAGAATGTCAGTGAGTTTAAGAGATTAAATTCTCCACCATTTTGTGAAACTTGGGATGAGGCGAAGGTCTAGCAGAGGAGATCAGAACCAGAAATATTGACGCTGTTACACTGACTTCTTTCCTTGCTCTGAGGGGAGGACTTTCTTGCCTCTGCTCAGAAGAAAGAGCCAGGGACTTTTTGGTTGTATTGAGTTGTGTCTCTACACTAGGTTGTGAGGGTCTTTAAGACTTGCTACTTTGGGGGCTTCTGTTCTTTTCTTTATTTCTGCCAGAGAGCTGGGGCCATTACTCAGGGATGGCCAGTAATCATTCACCCACTAAATAAATAATTACCACTGATGAAGGCTGGTCCTGCAGAGGGTAGAGACCTGGGCTCTGCTCTCAAGTCTCAGCACTCCTTTCCACCTGCATACATCCACCCACACCATTCCCTCTCTGGCCTTCTCATTGGCTCTAGGTTTTCTGAACTTGGGTACCACTGTCATTACTGACTAAATAATTCTATGTTTTTGGGACTTCCTTGTGCATTGGAAAGCTTCTGGCAGCATCCTGGTTTCTGCTTACTAGCCATTATGCCTCACTCAGGCTGTTACATCCAAAGCAACTCGAGATGTTGCCAAATGTCTCCTGGGAATAGAACCACTGAGCTCTTTGAATTTTATTTCTTTTAGGACCACGTCTTCCATAGGGTTTGCCTCGGTTACTTCTGCGCATGCTGACGTCTGTCTTGAGTCTCTTCTGCCATTTGTAGCTACTGCTATCCAGTTTAACATAAAATTATTCACCCCCTTTTCTTTTATCTGTTTGTGAAGAAGCAGATGAATGAGATTGGTCCTGGGGATGTGGGTTTCCTTTAAGCACATGAACTTACTGTATCTCTTAGAGCAAGCTGCTTCAATTCTGCCAAGGAGACCCCAGTTTCTTCAAGTTCAAAATCATATGCAGAGCTACACCAACCACACATCATCGAAGATATAGAGGAGGCATTTGGGGGAGGTTTCTAGGTAGCAGCTCTCCTTAAAATGAAATTGATTTTTATGTGTTATACAGTTACTTTGTGCATGGGGTTTAATTGAAATAATAGGGTAAATAAAATCTGTCCATGTTCTTAAAGGCTTCTCTAACATTTGACATTGAGATTTCATTTGTATTGAATTGTGTCTCCCCTCTAGGTTGAGAGTACCTACCGTGTTTGTTACTTTGGAGACCTTTAATTCCTACTCCTCCTGTCTCCTCCCCTTTCCATTCCTTCTCTCTCCTTCCCTCCCCTCCCCTCTCCTCTCCTTCCCTCCATCCATAGCATCTGACTGGCATCAATCCGTACTTCTCCTGCCTCTGACTCCAGGATGCTGGGAGTGCAGGTGTGCACCACCATATTTGCCATCGGGGGCTCTTATTAGGAAAGCTACGACTTTTCCAGAACTGTCTTGCCAGTTCTCAAATTGTATCTCATTGTTCGCTATTGAATCATGGCCACTGTAAGATGCAGGGACATTGGACTAGTACATGACAGACTGTTTCAGCTTCACAGTAGAAAACGTGAAAGAGAAAGGGGGCAGAAGATGGGTGCTGTTCTGGCCAAGCAGCAGGTCTGACCTCGTGCCCTCTACATACCACCCTCCGTGTTCAGCAGCGGCTCCAGCTTCTGCAGCTGTGCTAGGCAGGAAGCCAGGAAACCAGCTCCACGGGCTTCCATAGTGTAGCCTGCCTTCTGGCCTTCCCCGTGGTCCCAGCATGGCTAGGGGTGGCCCCTGGGGCAGGGAAAGAGGCTCAGCTTTGGGGGTGGGAGTTAATCTATCTATGGATGATCAGGTTTCCTTTCCTCTTGGCAGGCTCTGTAGTTGGAATGGGAGGCTCCTCAACAAGGAAGTAATTAGACAAGTCAGACAGTACTGCCTCGCTTCTGAAATGCCATGGGTTTAACCAGGATTAGAAGTACTGATGTGAAGTGGCATTATGAGCATGGCTCACCGGAGGGCACAACTTGGCATTTATGATTACTTTTGTCCAAGGGGCATTTGTTGATCTGAAGAGCAGGCTGAGAAATGAGTTATTTTTGAAAATTACAAAGTGGCTGGGATTCAATGCTTGGAATCTGTTGTTCACTTTCTTTTCTAGTGTGTGTGTGTGGGGGGGGAGGGGTTCTGGAAAACATCTTGGCACTTAGAGCAAAGACCCTTCAGGGCTGTACTATAGATCTAACATGAACTCAAAGTAGACTGCTGACAAAGAAAGCCTCGGCTCCTCAGCTGTCACTTAGTTATTGGGTATCACAGTAAGTCTGAAGCCTTGAACTTGGATTAAAGGCACTGAAGACTGTCTTTTCCCCCAGCAGCTTACCAGAGCAAATGAAGATCCCACCTGGAAGAAGATGCTGTCTGAGGTCTCAATTAACTTCTATGGATACATTTTCAAGTCTGATGCCCACATCATAATAAAAGTAAACAAAGGAGGAGAAAAAGGGCACAGATAAATAAGAACCAGCACGTACAAGAGGCATGAGAGTGCTCAGGGTCCTCCTCCTCCTCTTCTTCTTCCTTTTCAAACTTCTCTTTGAATTGTTACATTTTCACACTGCATATATTGCACATGGGTTGTATTCCTCCCCAACCCCCCCGCCTCTCCCCTGTTAGTCCTCCACTCATCCCCCAGACAACCTCACTTCTACTTTCAAGTTGTGGCCGCAAATGAAAGAACAAATATCATATGTGTCTTTCTGAGACTGGCTTAATTCGCTTAGTGGTCATCACCAGTTACATCCATTTTCTAGTGAATGACATTTCTGTGTTCTCTATGGCTGAAGAAAAATCAACTGTGGTGGCCAGAGGGATGGTTCTGTGAGTGGAAGGGCTTGGCACACGCGTGAGGACCTGGGTTCAGATCCCTGGCACCCATGTAAAAAGCCAAGAGTGGCCGTATTCAGCTGTTAAATGAAAGGCCTTTGTCCAAGGGAATATGGTGGGGAGAAACAGAGAACTCCCAACATCCTCTTCCTGCCTCCACACTCGTACAAATGGATGCTTGTGCTCTCACACACATGTGTACACATACATCCATATGCTGTTAAATATTAAAACAGCAGAAAGATTCCACTATACATATGCCCACGTTTTCCTTACCCTTTCCTTTGTTTTTGCACACGGAGGCATGGTACAGCTGGTTCATATAGTTATTCTAATTTTAGTTTCTCCAAAGATTGCCATACCGATTCCTATAGTGGCTGATCACTTTGCAAGCCCATTAGCAGCAGATGAGCTGCTTGACCTGGGGGCACAGAACCAAACTCGGGTCCAGTGCAAAAGCGTGCTCAGGTTATTCTTTTTTTTTTTTTTTTAATGATTTTTAAAGATTTATTTATTTACTATGTATACAGAATGTATGACTGCAGGCCAGAAGAGGGCACCAGATCTCATTACAGATGGTTGTGAGCCACCATGTGGTTGCTGGGAATTGAACTCAGGACCTCTGGAAGAGCAGTCAGTGCTCTTAACCTCTGAGCCATCTCTCCAACCCCACTCAGGTTATTCTTGACGTAGGCTTGCCATGCCCAAACTTTAAAGCATCTCTACTGATTATATGCTAGAGAACATGAGAGCCCAAACAAAGTCCAGTGACGACTGTAAGTTATAAAAATAGTTGTATAGATTTGATAAACTCCTAAGCCTCTCTAATTGAAAAAAAAAAAGATGGTAACAAATATTAAGATCCCAGTGAATGTACTTAGCAGCAAACAACAGAACAAGAAGGTAGGTCAACTAGTAACTACCCAGACAGAGCATAGAAAGAGAGCAAAAGGTAAAGCTGAAGTAAAAGTAACGTGTATTATATGCAAATAGAGTCCCAAATGGAAGGGACAGAAGGGGGTGGGATGAGTGAGTCATCTGAGGAAGGAAAATGGTTAAGAATTTCCCCAAACTGATTAAAGTTCTATGAATCCCAAGCAGGATAAATTTAAGACACTCATATCTAGACATGTCGTAGTCAAATTTCAGAAGGTCAAAAGCAAAGAGGAAAACCGTGAAAGCAGACTGGGGTAAAGAAGAAGAAAACAGCAAGAGGGCAGACTCCTAAACACAGGAAGTGGGAACAGAAAGGCAGCAGAATGTCTTCATTTACCGGAAGAAATCAATGGCCAATGTAGAACTCGGCACCTGGTAGAAAGATCTCTCAGAAACAGTTTTCGTAGAAAGATCTCTCAGAAACAGTTTTCGTTCCCATGAAAGCAGGAAGAAGGGCGGTTGGAAAACTGCATTAATGAAAATTCTGAAAGGTATTCTTTGAGTAAAGAGAAAGGGATCCTAGCTGGGAGCTTGGAGCTGGAGGAAAAATGAAAAAGGATGAAAATGGAAACTATAAAAGTAAATATACATGACCACAGTGATGAAAACAATAATATCTAGCAGTA